CTAGAGATGGATTTTAGGCACCATATTTTAAGTCAGAATTCGAAAGCAGTGATGAGGAAAATCAAGCTATAGAGCAGGCTCTCGACAACCTTATCTGATCACCATCCACCATCCAAATACCATAATGATATCAAACTATGTGGAACTTAATATAAGGCAGCAACAACAGATTGTTGGACTGTTGTTAAACCACGATGCTATCCAACTTGAAGACAACTTCAAAATTCTCTAGATAAACTACTGTTCTGATTGCGACAACGCTTGGGTTGATGTGCAGCATGAATCTGGTATTTGTGACTACTGTGATTTGCATTTCTTTGAGTCTAAAAGTTTTCTTAGGATTTCTTCTTGTCCCTGATGTGACACTTATGATGAAGGACTGATAGCGGAAACTGAAGCCTTTAGTTTCTCAGACTCTACTTTTGATGATTATTAGGTTTTGTTTGTTTAAACAGTTGTTTTGTTTTAGGGAATGTAACGGGTATGGGTACTCGGTTATTATGTTTTATGTTTTGTTTTAAGTATTGTTTAATACTTAGTGTGTTTTAAGTATTGTTTGATACTTAGTTTTGTTTTATATTTTGTTTTAAGTATCGTTTGATACTTGGTTTGTTTTAAGTATCTTTTGATACTTAGTTTTGTTTTATGTTTTATTTTAAGTATCACTTTGATACTTAGTTTATTTTAAGTATCGTTTGATACTTAGTTTTGTCTTATGTTTTGTTATAAGTATTGCTTTGATACTTAATTAGGTTTACCAAAGTGTATCAATTGATATCTTTGATTAGTTTCGTTCATGCTAGACATGAACAGATTTGTGTATTTAAAGACCACCTGTTTCTACAATAGAAGAGGCAGACTTCAACAGACAGTATTTCAATATACTTGGTTAAACAGTTACTTCTTTGTTCCTCAGTACACCCTCGAAGCCTCCTTTAGTTCTCAGCTCTCGCCTCCTCTCTGAAAGAGCAGGCCACCTGCCAACTATCGTATCTATTACCAATAATGTGATTAGCACCTTGCAAACACGTTACATTACACATGGTAAGTTTCATCAACTATGATTAGGACTACTGGTACCAATTGCTACCTCTAGCTGAACATGCCTACAATAACTTGACAACCAATGCACATAAAATGACCCCTTTTCATGCAAATTATAGATTGTATTCACAGACTGAATGGATAAAAGAATGTGAGGTGAAAAATTTAGGAGCAACACTTTATTGCAACTGGATAAAAGCAATCCAAAAACAAGCAAGGCAAACACTTGAACAGACACAAGAAGCTATTACCAAATACTACAATAGAAAGGTCAAACAATAACCAAACTTCAAAATCAGTGATAAAGTACTATTAAACGCAAAAAAATTCGCACAAGCTGAAAGTCAAACAAACTTAATGTAAAATTATATGAGCCATTTGTGATCTCAGAGAAACAAGAAAATTGTGCCTACAAGCTCAACATTTCTGATCGATAGAATATACACCCACCATTGCTCAAATCCCAGTCCAGAACATTACAGGGAGTTAGTACATGCAGACTGACAACAACCCCCATGAGAGCCCGAAGATATTATGTCTGACATATAATATGAAATAGAAAGAATTATAAGAAGTGAGATACACTCTTATGGAAAGAGAGTATGCTGTCACTACTAAGAGCCATGCAAACTATAATACTTTTTGAAATAGCAAGATTGTTCTGAAAACAAGAATACCTGGAATCCTGTAACAGGCATGGATAATTCGAAGGAAATAGTGGAAGAATTTCACAGTGATAATTAGTGAATGCTATAGTGGGCAGAAGAAGTACAATAAGGAAAAGATTTTCCTACAGTGGACAAGCAAACATGGAAGGTTTTGTACTCTGTCTTCGTCGAGTCCTAAAGAGGTCAACGTTTAAGGTTTAATGATTAATAGTTTTAATTTAATTTTTTTAATTTGTTTAATATGTATCCAAAAGGTTATTCGAGGCAAAGTCTTAAGAGGAGGGAGCTTATATTAGGAGTATGGGAATCCAATACTTGGAAACCTCTAAGTTGGGTAACTCCACTCAGAATCAGAATCTCTAGTCTCCAACACCCTCCTCCAGCCCCCTACCAGGGCCCATACATCATTCTACATACTTATATCACTTACGTCCTGTGACGATAAGGCTATAGGATTTATGGTACACAAATAATACCATATATATCGCTGCCATCTATCCGACCAGATTCTATTTATAGGATATAAAAGAGAGGACCTTCAGCTAAGTCCAAAAAGTGGAACAGAGTATATCCGTCAACTACTGAGAGTTACTACGTTTCAAAGATATAACAACTATAGAAAAGGTTATAAGTAAAGGGACATTTTCATACGAAGATATAGTATTGAATGTTAAAATATTTCAACAAGAGACCAATATATTCGCATCCATCCTACAATAGCTCGAAGAGTCTAGAACTCCTAGTAACACTACGACTGAAACCAATACACTTCATGGAGCATTACAACTAGGTCCTGGAATACATTGTTAATGCGAGAATAATTCTCAATACTAAATCAGTGACTGAAATCCAGTTACCCAAAGCAATCAAGAGTTGCCGACTGTGATGTTATCTACCAATCTAGTAAGATGGCTACCTAAAGATTAATCGGAAATCATCTGGAAGATATCTGTTTGTTGGATCCGAAACTATTGGAGTTTAAAGTCAGCAATCTTGGCAGGTTGAATTTATGACTATTTCTGCAGATACAACCTGCAGATACAACTGATCATTTTATCAATAAGAGAGGCAATTAGAACCAACTCAGTTCCACTTAAGAACTAGGCCATAAGTATAATAACTCTAAAGATCAGATAATTACTATTGGAAACAGGACAGTTCCTAATTAGCAAAATAGTAATTACTGAAGAGGGGTATAGTGGTTTTCAGGGTCTCCAAATATTTGCACCTTTGAACAATACCCAACGTTGCAAGTAATAATCAGAGGGGTACATAGTGTGTATAATAGATAGAGGTAGTCCATGAATACTCAAATGCAGAATATAAATATTGAAGTGCCTCCCAAGTTTTTAGACATTATCAAGTAACAGAGAACAGACCTTAACAATATAATATTGTTCTCACAATTCTATTCTACTTTACCTACTTTACTTTACTCTTAGTAGTCATAAACAAAATAAGTATATTTCGAGCTTTTTTAGACAATCTCCATCTATAGAAACAAATCTTGGTTGGCCTAGACAACTCTGTATCTATACAGGTTGTCTCAACCTAACATAAAGTCTTGAAAAATAACTTGAAATGGCTCACTGATCTCTTAATCTAATTCTAAGATGGCAGAAAACAAGATCAAAAAATAATGGAACGAAATCTGTAAGTAGATGAGAAAGGCAGTGAAATATTGAAATAAAAAACTAAAGATTCAAAAGATTTTACTTCAGAATCTTGGATATTCTATTGTGGATAGCACACTATTAGTGTCAATTTGAGGGGGGCTGTAGCTTACAGCATTGGGTACATAGATTAGAACGGCATAGGATGAGCTGGCTGGACATATTTGTTTATGTAGGAAGAAGCTACATGGAGAAGCATATGGAAGACAATGGTAAAGCTTGAGAACTCAGAGAAGATACTAGAAGGGGGGGGGGGGGACAGTAAGGGTAGGTAGTCATTTATTTTGTGAAGATATATATATCTCCTGGTCTGTTCTTAGAATCTTAGTACTTAGTAGCATCTCTATTCCTCACCTTGTATGTTTTTTAAATTTTCACTTTCCTTCCAGACTTCCCAATAGTCACTAGCTATATACATTAAGCTTGGAGCATGTTTTGGAAGAAAAGGCATCTTTGGTTGTGGAAAGAACTCTGCTGGACAGTGATAAACAATGATAGGTGGAAAAAGTATTGTTGAGCTGTCATGTATCATGGAGTTGTCAGGAACTCCCTTGTAAGTGCCATCAATTTCGAAGGTTGCTTAACATCTTTCGGAATTATGGGAATCTTGGCACAGTTAGGCCCTGTTTAGTTGTACTGGACCCATTTCATTTTTACATCCAAACGACCATTTCCCTTCTATTTCCAAATAGAAGACCAGAATAGCTCTTCAGCAATGGTAAATGGCATTGACCTTCCATTTCAGATATAGCCATAACACCACAGTTCCTATATAGAAACATCACACATGAATGGTTGTTGTAATGATATTATTATTAATGCAAAAATTACTATCCTGCAGAATAGGTTTTGTGGAGGATAATATTATCTGCAAGACATCTTTCATTTGAATTCTAATTTCAAACAATTCAATGAGTATTCAGGCCAATAATAATAGCATCTATACCACAATCATCCATTAATGAATGCAAATTGCAAGCAGCATAGTAATTTCTCTCAATCTCTTTCAACCTAGAGAGTATGTACATACTTCTATTAACCAGTAGTTTCATGCAGTTTTTCAAGCTGGAACTGGGAGCTGGAACCAGAAGTAGCAGTAGCTGTAGTAGGTAAAAGCAAGGTCTGAATTCTGGCAGGTTGTTGGTGGAGTATTGAAAGTTTGAATTTGAGAAGAATTGAAACTACTGGTAAAAAAAAGTTTCATGAGGCCCTAAGGTGAAATTTTTTCATGTGTTTGCTACTAGTGAATGGTAGTTCCCAATTGGCAATCATTTCCACAGGTCCGTCCATTTCACACTGGAACGGTCCAAAATGGGCCCAGTGCAACCAAACAGGGCCTTAGTGATGGAGATCATATTTGTATGGCAGCTTTTTTTTTTTATTTGGCGAGGTCGCTTAGTCAGCATTTCACGAACACTTGTGACTAGTGACTGTTTATATAAGATAGCCATCTCCAAAGTCTCCATGAGGAATCAGCTCGCCGGCTTGGGACGAGATGGCTGTGTGGCGAGCGGTTCATTGTGACCAAAATCAACTTCGACTACAGTACTCGTGGATTAACAAAATAAGAATCAAACTCTCCTGGTCGCTTATTATTTACTGAGAACGAGGAGTGTAGTGGTGGACACGGTAATGTGCCATAGTTTTTCTTTTTATTGGAGATATCCCAGTGCTTGAAAAATACGATAAAACATACGCACCCAGTCACCTCCGATTCGCTTCAAATCAAGCATAAGCTAAAGGTCAGAAAACAAACAGGAGTGACACCCCATGAAGAATAGGTAATCCGATAACTTGGGAAATATGAAAAATAAATAAGAAAGAAGAAAGACCAGTCCCACACCGCACCGATGTCATGAAATTAAAGCAAGCAAGTAAGCACCAGAGGGAGCTACAAAGAAAGGAAAAACCCAGCCACCCATTTAAAGTACCGTATTACACATTCCCTAGCTAAATGTTCCGCTATAATTTTATCTCCAACAAGGAAATCACACAACCCCCTCCCACCTTATTCGCCTTCAATGGTTTCAAGAAATAAAGGGTATCGGTCTCCTCACGTCTCAAAATATAGGGTAACGAAGGCAAAAGCATACAAGGACAATCCCACGAGTCAGCTGGCCCACCCCATGTACCCGATGCCCCCACCATCGATTCCAAGAACTTCTATTAGGTCTTCAGGTGAATCGGCGAGTGGTGCTCCGGAGGGAGCATTGGCATTGCTAGCCTCTCCCCCCTCCTGCTGTAGGGGCGCCGGTGCCGGCGGCGCCAGTGGATGGCCATCGGGGCCCCACCAGTTCCATGGACCGGAGGTGGTGTAGTTACTATCCTCGTCGCTCTCCCCATAGGTGCTGCCATCCTCCCCTTCATAGTCGGACTCGGACTCATCCACCCAGATCTGACTTCCGTCTATTTCCATGTCCACACCACCTATAGCACAGCGGAGGTCGCGGGCACTGATGTACGACATGCCGGAAGCGACGGGATCGGGATCGGAGGTGTCGTCCAGGTAGGTGACGTCGCGCCATTTAATCCAGAGACCATTCCAGGCAGGGCACCCATCCTCGGAGCTGAGTAGTGAAGCTTGGAGGGCATCTTTGCTTCATTAGTTGGGGGAGGGGAGCCGAAAGGTGGAAAGGAAACTCACCGGCATTCTCGACACCCCAAACTCCAACAAAAGATCTCTCTTCTAAATCCCACACCGCGGTTTTCCATTCCGCCGTTACGCCAAGGTAGCGGCCGCAACCCGACAAGACTACGTACTTGTCCAAGTTGCCCCATCCCCGTGGGACGGGAATACGCGATGTAGGCCTGGTCATGGGAGCTTCACCTTTGATATCACCACGGAAAGGTCCGACGGCTGGAATGGCGTCTGGAGTGGGATCAGGCTCACTGCCGAGATCCCAGACAAACACATTCTCATACCCATAGCGTCTCCTGCGGCCCGTACGACCCCAATAACCATCTTCGTCCGTAGGACGGGCAGCGCTTCCAAGACCTCCGAGACTAGCAATAAGAACACCATCGCCAAGCGTAAAAGAGCACCACATGTAACACTGACGAATTATATTGCGCTCTTCCTCTGCAAGATTAAGTATCTTGACAGTATCTCCGGTTTGTAAGCTCAAGAGATGAAACTCCATCACAGCACGGTATCTCTCAGGATTGGAATTGGTAGCAGGGGTAATGTGGCGTCGCGTAGAATATGCACAAACAGAGGAATTGACTGCAAGGCCGTCATTATCAAGCCAGTATTCTGCTGATGAAACGGAAGGTTTGACAACCATCCTGCGTTGCCACCTAAGACCCGAGGCGGGTGCAGAAGGAGAAGGCTTGCCAGATGAACCAGAGACTTTGGACACTCGTCCAGCGAAGCAGCTGACAGTCGAAGCGCGACGCCCACTACTGTCATCACAAACTATAAGATAAGCCCCACAACTCCTGAACTCCCAGCACACTTTAATGTCACCCGCATCGTCATCCCACATTTCATCGGAATCAAGGGAAGTGGCGGAATCAAGACTGAGATCCTTAATGCTCCCAGGCATTTTCCACACCATATTGACGACCACCTCGTTCTTGTCTGAGCTTACCATCGCGAGTCTTTCAACTGCCGCGACCTCCACTTGCTTCTTGACAAGCCTTGGCACTAATCTCAGGTTTGCATCCGAATGTAAAAGACTCTTCCCAAATCCGATAAGTCCCGCGTCTGCTACCTTATCCATGGTCCAGAGAATCTCCTCAGATGTAAGCCCCGATTCTGGGGGGACATGCCGTCCAATCTGATCTTTTGACTCGTGTTTCTTCCTGGGATCCTGTGTTCCAAACGCTCTATATATGCTCGCATGGATACTCTTTCCCGGAGGGCCCCATTTTTGAGAATTAATAAATTTATCATGATCCACGGGCCTGATGAATGGGCTCTTAACCCGCTGCTGCTGCCCGACCAATTCCACCAGGCTCGGCGGCGCAGGTGCCTCAACTACTCTCAACAATTTAGAGCCCTCCGTTTCCTCTTCCATCCTCCGGCATGCTTGCGATTCAGTAGCTAGTGGGGAACCAGAGCGATGCGGGGGTGCCCCGCCAACAATAGCTGCCCGTTGAACAGTGATTGTATTACCATCGCGTGACTCGGGAAAACTTCTGGGGTCGTCAGAAAATAGTATCCAATTCGCAGTCTCTCCTTGGTGGACAGTGGTATCAATTCCTGGAGGTAGAGAGTCGCTCCAGCCGCACGTCTTCACGCCAACATAGGCGACATTATAATAGGTCCGAGAGGCCTCAGTGCACGAGTGAACGAAATCAATTATTCGCACAACCTTTCGGCCCGCGGGATCTACCGATAAAGGCGGCAGCGTACCCGCCTTCATCTCATTCTTGGATAGAGTAGCGGTACAAAAGGCGTCCTCGATCTCGGGGCCACGATTCCCAGGGTTAGGTCCGTACGAGGTTGCTAGGCATACTTTTGGAACATGTGTGACAGACGCACGATGTACCTCGGGCGGGAACCGCTGACGGGACAGGAACAAGTTGCGAGCCAAAGCCTTGTAGGTCTGTCTCCGAGCAGATGGTGTGACGGAGGTGGGAGGTACGCGGGTTCCTGAGAGAGTAGATGGAGGGAAGAGGAGGGGATCATAAGATAAAAGTGAAAAGGCGGCAGCTCTATAGATATGCCTGAAGACGAGATGAGCAAATTAAGTCGGTCTAAGAGTTCACAAGGGGACTATGGGTATATACTTGTCAAGAGTAGGGTCTTCGATAACCCCGTAGAAACCCCTACACACCAACAAACATGACCTCAAGGCGGGCGGACCACCGGTCAAACCAACAAAGGTTAAAATCCGAACCAGAAGCTCAGGGGGTAAACGCGAGATTGGAGGTTGTTGGTCCATCTCTGCTGTGTCTGTAACCGTCCCGTCCTGTTCGAAGGTTCTTGGTAAAGAGGAGTGTTCGCACAGTTGGTGGGCCGAGGCGGTAGAAGTACCCTCAATTCCAAAACCACAAATCAATGCGGGGTCATGGGAGGGCAGCATATTAAGGGGCGTGGGTATTAAAAAAAACCCGACTTTAGTGGGGGCCAAACAGAGATCAAGGGAATGCAGAGCTAGCCCAACAAAGAGCCGAGCGAGTTCTGCAGCTCGATGTCAAGATAAGACAAGGCCAGAGCAAACGATGGAGGTAGAAATTGGTGATGGGGTGGGGAAGGCAGATTAGACCGCAATGCAGAACGGTACTGTACCAGGTGTGATGGTGGTGGAGCCGGCAATGTACCGGTACAGTACCGCACAACAGCGAATGCTTGTCGTTAGGGCAGCCGTGTTTGGTGACCCTTCTGACTTTTTTTTTTTTTATTCTTTTTCTTTTTCTTTTTCCTCTCTTTTTTTTTTCCTCTCGTTTCTATGATAATTATTATTATGAGATTCATACTTTTCTATTTCCCCCGCCCCCAGACGTTCAAACACACCACTCGTGTGCTTCTACAAGGGTACTGTACCCTGGCGCAATTGCTACAAGGGGAGAGCTTAGGTTGGACAAGCTACCGACGCCCTATAAAGCTTACAGGCTAGAGAGCAATTCAGTGGGTAATGAGGAACAGCGCAACGTAAAGAAAGCTGCAAAGAAGGGCGGGAAAACCACACATATGCATACAGCGGCCAGGCTCATTATCTTGCGGGTGTCACTTTTGTTACCGGCAATTTCGATTGTTTCAATACCAGTACCAGACAGTGAACCAGTATGTTTATGTTGTGTCCCTTTGGTTCGAGAATAGCTAGCAGAAATAGCGGAAAGACACGGGGGGGTTAAATGAGACAAAAAAAAACCATCATTGCATATAAGTTAATCCCTGGAATTGTTTCTCCGCCTTATCACAGTACGAGTACCACACTCAGTACTAGTACCATATGTGTGTCTCTCTATCCGAGTCGGCCTCTGCATGTCTCTCTTTTTCTCTCTCTCCGTCCGTCATATTATCTGCCCTGTCTGCCTGTATTTTCCTAGTGTCCCCGTAGTGAACCTTCCGGTATGGTACCACCCGTCCCCAACCTCCAACCATCCGTGCCCCACCTTTGGCTCCCAGCATCATCCCCTACTCAAACTTCATGATCCATCCCAATTATTACAGTTGATGACAATGTATGGATGAGAGGCCAACTAGATTCAATAGTTCAACAACATACCCCACGAATTTGCTGTCTCTGGAAATGCAGTACTGTAATGGCAGCGAGCGAAAACAGTATGATAACCGCAGAAGGAAAACAATAATAATGACAACAACCCAACGCTTCCCACCCACACCGCGGGACATCTCACAATCCCGCTCCTTTGGGTGCCGTACTGTACTGTACTCGTACTTGTGCAGTACCGCACAAGTACCGATAAACTCGTCCAACAAAAACCAGGCTGTATGACGTAACAATACTCCTATCTGAGACCTTGTCCCTCAGAACAAATGGCTGTATCATGATATCTTCCCTTTCTTCATTCCTTCCAGTCCCATCTCTCTCTCCCGTCCTTCCTCTCCCAGCCGTGTTTCTTCTCTTCCCCGCTTTTAAAATTCCACGTGACTACTCGCCTAATTGTTCCCCTTGGCCATGCCCTAATTTACCATTTCCTCCTTATCCTACCCGGCACCTGGTTGGTGGAATCAGACGATACAGTACCTACCCGTTTCCGCCGTAACCGATGAATATCGCAATCCCCAGTCTTCGGTGTCAGGTACAGAATACATGCCGGTATCATGTTTCCTCGGAGAAGATTAAAATATTGTAACACTCAACAACAACACCGCCCAACCGAAATATCATAACAATCACATCACAATTATTGCGACTGTTAGTTGTGTGCTCTTAGGGTGCGGCCCCCGTTTATAAAGTACGAGATGGTGGAGATGCGGTACCGTACTCTTACTGTACTTGTACTGTACAGTACCGGTACCGCATAATATCGTACCATACTAGACAACAGCAGAGCCTGCCGCCGCCACCAATTTCCTCAGGAATAGGCAGCATAAACAAGCCCGTGTCGCATTGTGGTACAGTACAAACATGTCACGAGCTGCCTAGACCTCGCCCCCTGCTCCTAGTCCCTGTTTGTGCTTGCGCTATATCTTTGTCCTGTACTCGAGTATGATAGTTCAACCAGGTCTCAAAGAAAAAAAGGAGGTCTCATTCCTGCGCACGGTGGGCGGTGTGGAACACTAAAATATCGTCAATCTCAGGACCTGGAGGTGGGGACTAACTTTTCAGGTGATATCTACCTTGAGACCCCCCCCATGTGCTGTCAACAGTTCACCAATGCACCGAGTCTGTCCCCCAAGATAAGGCGAGTCCCAAAAACATCCCATTCGGTAGCGAAGGTCAAGTGGGCCCCCCATCATATAATGGTGGGTGGATGCGAGACGCACTGCATGTTTTGGGCATCCTCTTTTTTTCTATGCAATCACTTCCCTTCAATCTCACCTTGGCATTGTTTTCAACTCGTCAAGGATAATGCCTACCATGCTCTGAGGGGTTTGTTTGTTTACCTTCGCCGTCCAATACAAACCACAGCTTGAACTTCTGTCTTCTAGAAGTAGAGCGTGGTGCATTCCTTCTTTTCTTTAAAATTTTTTTCACCCATCGCATTTCGCATTCGAGTGAGACGACGTGACCAGCGGCTGAAATCCCTGATCTCACTGCAGATTGTGAACAAGCAACCCCCCTGTCGGTGCCCCCGGATGGGGAAAAGGAAGAACTCTTTCTTCTCCCTTGAGTTTGCCAACCCCCTCCCCCCCCCCCACTGCCGTATCAGAACCCGCTTTGTGCAATCTCCGTGCCCAGCCGTCGGCATTTACTGGTTTCACGACATTGGTGCGCGAATACCCGGGTATTTGTTTGTTTATTTTGCTCTTGCCGCGGCGCCAATTCATTCTACCGTAGTATGAGGCATTACCCGTGTCTGTTGTTGGGCTTCCAGAAGGTTGGAGAGGTGGAGAGTTTCGTTGTGTCATGGTGGGGTTCATATCATTGAACATCACTCGCCGGGGTGTCGGGTTGCGTTGGTTTTAGAATGACTCGGTGGATGTGATCTACTCAGAGTCTAGGCATTCCTTCCATATGGATCCACAGGGGTTTGATCTTCGGGGGTGATACTGTTTGTGTTCTCCGTGGGAATGGTACCTTTTTTCACGCACTGCGCTACCATGATTGATATTGCTCTAACCATCGTTCGGTCCGACTGGGCTTTTCATGTGTTGTCGACATGGGCTATGATTCGCCAAAATGTTTTGACTGGATTTTGGGATCTGCATTCGGCAAGGAAACCATTCTGAGCAGTTTTGAGCTACCAGTAGGTATGATAAGTTAACGGAAGCAGCTCGACTTGGAATCCCCCCAAATCATGTCCCCACGAGCATGAGCTCAGCTAACAGTAAGCCGTACTTGTTTTGCCTCCGCTCGGCCTTGATCTATCAGCGCATTGCTGCCCCCTCGGACGGAGCACAAATGTCGATCTGAGGTGCTGTCAGACATGTAAATGGACTCATGTTGAGCAGCACAGAGATTCATTATCAAGTCATGTTTTCTGGGTGTCATGAATCCATGGGCATTCGTCATGAAATGGGTTTATTCAAAAGGGGTTGTTGAATCCGCTGTGGGACCTTCACCAGGTAAGATAAAAGAGAATAGAAAGCAACAATTGTGAATAGTCTTTCTCCCCACGGGTTTTTTTCTTTTTGGTAATGTCGCTCTTGTCTGTCCTCAATCTTCACTGGGGAAGACGACCCATATTCACTCTGGGATCTGTTTCTATCAGCACCCACCTCTCCCGTGCTCCACATTGCCACTCATCAGAGATCAAGAGATAAAGCATTTTTATCAACCTGAGCAGAAGTACAATGGACTCAAAAGTATCTGGGAAGATCAGATCGAGCCATTGCCATTTTCCATAAAAGTATGCCAACCCCGTAGCAAGGGCAACACTACTCTACTCGTACAGGCCGGATGCTTTTCTCGCTTCCAGTAGAGTTCCCAATCCCAAATTCACAACTGCTTTTCACTTGCTAATTCATAGAGTGTATCCGGAAGCCTGGGTTATTGACTAATGTCTTCCTTGGCGCAAAGGGGTCCAGATACTTTATGGACCAGCAATTTAATTCCGGTTGATTCATGCAGATTTCTGTTTTTTTTTATGTGCACCTGAGAGGGGTTTTCGCATGCTAAGGGGAGGAGGAGGCTGAGTGATAAGAAAGGGAATTTAATTCACCGGCAACGAGATCTGTCTATTTGCTGGTAATTTTCTGCTACGGTAGTTTTTGCGAGGTCTTTTATTCACCCCTCAATGAGAGACCTTATCTGGCAAAGATTAATTACCTGGTGTTGCCAAGTTATCGCACAATTTCGAGGATCTCTTTTCTCGCTCCAGATATGTTAAGTTAACCAACCCCGCCGACAGCAAACCATCACCAACCCTCACTCGGTATCAGGTGTGGCGTTGGAATAACATTGTTCCGAGCCAAAGGGGAGGGCCGGTCAGGGGATAAGCTGAATAGGGTGAGGCGTGTCGCCACGTGCCACATTCTTTGCTGAAAATAGGTTCATTGCGCGCGCATAGAAACCAAGATGTGTAATTGTAGACGCCGGTCAACTGAGTAAATTAAACCGGTAGAGTACAGTACAGTACTCGAGCAGAGAGTTATTACAGTAATTTTTGGTTTGTAGTCGACTTATCCGAAAAAGGCCGGAGAAGTCAGAGATGATTTTCTTTTTTCCCCTTCCCCGCTGTCGTTTCGTTGTCCCTTCTTCCAATTTCGCTGTTGGGCAACCCCTCACTTCCTTCCTCTCAACTCCCATCGTTTCCCATACAACCTACCACACGATACAGAGGCTTCATTCAAAGGTGGGCAATTATCCTTCATCCTTCCCTTTCCTTTTCCCTTTTGATGAGGGTTGACGGGAAATTTTTCACGATCCATTTAGTCGTGTTCACGAGGTTTTACTGACCGGGAGTGTGATTAACAAGCTGCAGACAACTTCCTTCCCCTTTTCCGCCGGACAAAATATTCTCGAAAGCAAAGGCTTAGTGTGACGAAGGCGGACAGCCGAGAGAAACCCAATTTCCAGGGGAGGGAGAGGCCAGACCGCTGAACAAAGGAAGCGAGTACATCAACACTCCCGCTATCCTATCCTATCCTATCCTAACACTGCGTTCCCCCGGTCTAACAACACACCCAATACTCTACCGGTGTTACAACAACCGTTCGCACTGATATCCATCGATACGAGGTTTGTTTCTCTCTCTGCTGTAGTTACCATCTATATCCTACATACCCATCATGTATTTTGAGGGAGGTCCCCTCGTTATTTATCTTTCACTCACCCCACGCCTCCCCTTTGAACCCCCTCCCCTCCTTGTTCGGGTTGTTATGAAATTGTGGGGTTTGATAGCTCCTGTTACTCGGTAAACAATACGGGTAAGCCCCTCGGTCTGCACCATGAACAGGGCCTGCTACTGGGATCCGTTTCGACTGAGCTCTCACCCCCCTCCCACCACCTACTATTACTCCTTCCATCTCCCTCCTCTCCCGTCTCCCGCACCCACTTTAACCCTTCCACACTTCCTTTCCTCTCCCACTCCACTCTCCTCGACCCCCTTTGTCCATAATCTCCAAGAGAGATCTCCGTTCCCTTATTGGTTTCTGACTTTGCAGCCAGAGCACCCGTTATTTGACTGGACATCCTTCTTATTTTGTAAGTTGCTACGTCCGTTCTTACCCGCAGTCCGCATCGATACCCGAAACCATCAAGGCTCCCTTCCCTACTCGATTCCCTATCCACAAATTCTCCCGCTGTGCCGCTTAGTAAAAATTCCGGGGAGCTGACATGTCGGAATCCGTGCTTACACATTGGAGGTCCTATCCTGCCTCAGATTCTCCAGCGCCAGGCTCGCTTCCGGAACTATTTGTTCCATTTTTATACCCACCTCCCTCCCCTCTAACGAAAGGAGCTTGAGATATTTCTCCTCTTTATTCTCTCTTTCTTCTCAGTATACCCTCTCGTTATAAAATTTCGTGAACCGGCATTTGCGAAGAATAGCGGGAAGGACGATGTCTAGGCATAATTCTTCTTCAAGGAAAATTTCCTTCAATGTCAGCGACCAGTATGAGATCCAGGATGTTGTCGGCGAAGGGGCTTACGGAGTTGTGTGGTATGGATTTTCGCGCTTCATCCGAACTGATGGAGATGCTGATGGTTGCTTGACTAGTTCGGCTCTTCACAAACCCTCGGGCCAAAAGGTTGCAATTAAGAAGATTACTCCGTTCGATCACAGTATGTTCTGCTTGAGGACGCTTCGCGAGATGAAGTTGTTGAGATACTTCAATCATGAAAATATTATCAGTATTCTGGATATTCAGAAGCCAAGGAACTATGAGACCTTTACCGAAGTCTATCTCATACAGGTTCGTGATTCGTATACTGGACGGGTAGTAGCTTATCACTGCTAATTGATGGTGGGGAATAGGAGCTTATGGAAACTGATATGCATCGTGTGATTCGCACGCAAGATCTTTCGGATGATCATTGCCAGTACTTTATTTACCAGACCCTACGTGCTCTGAAAGCCATGCATTCGGCCAATGTTTTGCACAGGGATCTCAAACCTTCGAATTTGTTGCTTAACGCAAACTGCGATTTGAAGGTTTGTGATTTTGGGCTTGCTCGATCTGCCGCCAGCACTGAAGACAACTCTGGTTTTATGACTGAATACGTTGCTACAAGATGGTACAGAGCTCCAGAGATAATGTTGACCTTCAAGGAATACACCAAGGCTATTGATGTTTGGAGTGTGGGTTGTATTTTAGCGGAAATGCTGAGTGGAAAACCTCTCTTCCCAGGAAAAGATTGTGCGTGATATCTCATCACATTTTCTAGCAAGAGTCTTAACAATGCTTTTGGCAGATCATCATCAACTCACTTTGATTTTGGATGTTCTTGGAACGCCTACCATGGAGGATTACTACGGAATCAAATCTCGTCGTGCGCGTGAATACATTCGCTCACTTCCATTCAAGAAAAGAATTCCGTTCTCTGCCATGTTCCCGAAGACATCCGCATCGGCGCTGGATCTTTTAGAGAAGCTATTGGCATTTAACCCTGCGAAAAGAATTACTGTCGAAGATGCTTTAAAGCACCCTTACCTTGAGCCTTACCATGACCCTGAGGATGAACCCACCGCACCGCCAATTCCCGATGAGTTCTTTGACTTTGATAGAAGAAAGGATGAACTGAGCAAAGAGCAACTAAAGAGTAAGCTTTATTTATTTCCCAAATACCCTTCAAGAAAACAATGTTAAGGCTAACCTTTTTCTTTTTCTTTCCCCCCTCTCTTCAGTGCTTATCTTTGAGGAGATTATGCGGTGAAAGCAATGGGTTTAATGCCCCAGATGTTTGAGTGAGGGGAGCCCCGGGCTTTGGGTTTTCTTTTGGGATTGATGTTTACACCTTATGTTTTTCTTGACTGATTATACCAATGGATTCGTGGTCCTCGTTTCGTATCTCGGAAATTCCTCTTACTATCCCACCAATGTTTATCTCCTCCATTTCCTTAGTTTTCTTGCCTTTTAGGTTTGTGAGGGGGGTTTATTACTTGTGGGAATGAGCGGATGGGAAAATAAAAGTCAAATTCATGCGAGCATATACCTAGGTTAGTATCGATACTTGATACTCACTTGTAGAAAAATTCAGTTACTCGGGTGGGATTATGTGCTGCAATACCAGTAGTGAAGTTTATTCTCACTGCGCTTTCCCGCTTTTGCCAGGAGGGACTGAAGTTTCAATCCAGGTATGATAGTTTAAGCTAACTTAGTGCTCTGATTGGAACGGATCGCTGCGAGGATGATTAAAAGGACCGCCACTCGTGATTAAATGGCGTTGGGCGAACACAACTGCTGTTGCATGCGTATTATACCGCCGGAATTCAAATTTTTTTGCTTGGATCTCAATGTTATGCAATGGTGGTCGTGTTCGCAAACGTCGTTCAATTACGGATAGTGGGGTTATTTGATTCGCCCTAATTAATAGGTCGATAGCACGAGTGCTAAAGAGCAATTTTAGTAATAAGCCGGAGTATCAAAAAAAATTTTGTGGAAATTAGTTGATGAGTAAACTTGCCAGTACCACGGGCGCCAGGGAAAGGAACTTAATTTAACGAGTGACTGGAGGTGTAAGAAGAGAGAGGGAGGGAAGGTTAGGGAGGAGGGTTTGTTGAAGCGCAATGACGTAACCTTTGCTCCCCATTCCTCCTTCTTTCTTCCTCCTCCCTTTTCCCATTATTCCCCCCTTCACTCTTATTTCTCCGTTTTAGCTTGCCTTTGTTCAATCAACATATCAAATAACATGCGGGAGGCTAGCCCTACTAGTTCACCGCCTCTTGAGGCTTTGCCAATACAGAAAAATACCTCCTTCACTTCAAACAAACCACACGATTCACCTCCACTTGCAAACGAAACATCAACTCCAAAGACGTTCGCTCCTGTAGATGCTGCACAAGGATTGCCCCTCACTGGTCGTGTCATCTCTGCCGCATGCTTCTTACCCTACACACTTGGCTATCGTCACGGGGGGGAGTGGGAGGTTGGCAATAGAAGAGGCTCGTCCGCGCTCTATGACTCTCTCAAGAGGCTCGGCGATGGCGGCTGGGAGAGGGTGCTCGTCGGCTGGACCGGAGAGGTTCGGGAACTCAAGGGGGAGACAAATGCGGATGTAGGCGGTGGCCCGGGCTCTGTAAATACGAGTCAGGCCAGAGGGTTGAAAAGGGCTATGAGTTATCACGTTTCTCCACCTGTTCCCGTGATTAATGATGGTGGGAATAGAATGACCATGAAGGGGGCGTACGGGAAGAAGGAGGAAGACGAAACAATCAGAATCAGTAAAGAAGATAGGGAAGCGGCCGAGACGGCGCTCGCTGAGAAAGGCAAGGAGAATGGGTGGGGTGATATCAAGCCTGTGTGGTTGGGTGATGACGAGAAAGGCTTGCCTATCGCTGGCGTTGATCGGTGGAGGGACTATGCTGAGAGAGGTATTTGTCTTTATGCAGACATTGAATGTAATGTGGATACTGATTTTAACGTAGTGATTTGGCCGTTGTTCCACTACATACTTCCTCAACATGTTTCATCGAAGGAGGAAGCTGCTTTGGAGGAGAGAGCTTGGTGGCGCGATTACCGCCTCTTTAGTGATGCCTTCGCAGACGCAATTATCAAAGTTTACAAAGAGGGAGACATCATTTGGATTCACGACTACCACCTACTCATTCTCCCAGAGCTACTGCGTCAACGCCTTGGCAAGGACGCCTATATTGGATTGTTTGTCCACACTCCTTGGCCAACGAGTGAGATCTTCCGTGTCCTCCCAAGGAGAAAGGCAATTCTCGTGGGAATGCTGGCTTCAAACATGGTCGCCTTCCAGTCGGAACCTTATAAGCTACACTTCATCATGTGTTGTAAGAAGCTGTTGGATTTGACAGAGAGCTCGGATAGAGAAGGGAGGGCGAAAGGCGTCAATGCATTTGGTGCGCATTGTGCAGTCGAGGCCTTGCCAATTGGAATCGATGCGGAGAAGGTTCTCAAATTAGCGGAGGGGCCCAATGTCGCAGCGAAGATGGAGACTATCAGAAAAGCGTACGAGGGCATGCACATTATTGTTGGCAGGGATAGACTCGATAGTGTTCGCGGTGTGGTGCAGAAGTTGAGGGCATTCGAAATGTTCCTGGAGAGGCATCCGGAATTCATTGGTCAGGTATGGTCGTATTCTAATTGGTAGAGGGTTAGTTGAGGAACAGTATTTGACATTGGGTCAAAGGTTGTATTAATACAAGTAACGTCACCATCATCGCTTTCCCAATCCTCGACCATTGAGCATCAAGTTGCCGAACTTGTCTCCCACATCAATGGAAAGTATGGGTCTCTGCATTATTCACCAGTGCACCACTACCCACAATATCTCGATCCGGATGAGTACTTTGCACTCCTCCGCGTCGCTGATCTGGGATTGATCACTTCTATTCGCGATGGAATGAATACCACCTCGCTGGAATATATTATCTGCCAGCAGGAGACACATGGACCGGTGATCCTGTCGGAGTTCACGGGAACCGCCGAGAGCCTAACCGATGCGGTGATTGTGAACCCGACCAACACCATTGGTGTGGCAGAGGCAATCGCAACTTGCCTCAACTTAACCCCCGTTGATAAGAGCAAGCTTCAAAGCAAACTCTATAAATACGTGATTACAAACACGGTACAATCGTGGAATAGTGCCTTCCTTGGAAAACTTATCATGGAACTCTCTTACAACCAGAGTCGCCCGCTCACACCTGCTCTCGACCTGAAGAGATTATACACTATGTACAATGAGACGGAGAAGGACTTGAAGAGAGGAGAAGTCGGCGAACGGATCTTCATGCTCGACTACGACGGCACGTTAACTCACATCATGGATGATCCTGTACAGGCCACACCCTCCGACAAAGTTGTTAGGTGCATCAAGAAGCTCGCGCAGCAACAGGGAAACAGAGTCTGGGTAATCTCCGGCCGTGACCAAGCGTTCCTGGAAAAGTGGCTCGGCCACATTAGCGAGTTGGGACTCAGCGCTGAACACGGCTGCTTCATGCGCGAGCCGGGTTCCGACAAATGGGTCAATCTGGCGGAAAGAATGAACATGTCATGGAGCGCTTTGTGCATTGACATATTCAACTGGTATACCGAACGCACGCCCGGTACGTTCCCCCCGGTTGACCAAGGAAGGGGAAAACTAATGAGAGTGAATATAGGTTCCTTTGTCGAACGCAAAAACGTAGCGGTAACCTGGCACTACCGTCGTTCTGACCAACAACTCGGCGAATTCCAAGCAAAAGAGTGCATGGCGGAACTAGAGTCCGCGATGAAAGAGCGAGGCTATGACGTGGAAGTGATGACCGGCAAAGCAAACCTAGAAGTCCGCCCGCGCTTCGTCAACAAGGGTGAGATAGCCAGAAAATTAGTCGCCGAAGCAGAAAGCACGCCTGCTATGGTGTTTTGCGCGGGTGATGATACTACTGACGAAGGTATGATCTGCTCTCGCAATTCTTGAGGATGGGAGATGACTAACGACTGCGGGAGAGGGATAGATATGTTTCGCGCACTCCAACAATCAGACTTGCCCAAGGAGAGACTATTCACTGTGACCGTTGGCCCGTCGTCGAAGCCGACTGAGGCTAATTACCATCTACTTGAGGCGGAGAACGTGATTGAATGTGTGGGATTGCTAGTGGGGACAGTGAAGCCGAGGGACTTGGGGGTTATCGTGTAGGGATTTGGAGACTGTAGGATACCTGTACTAGGTATGGTATGATAACTAGAGATAAATACACAATAACCAACCGCTTGTTTCCAACACCAATACACGAGTGATTTAACATGATCCTACCCTTCCTAGGTATGATACAAAGTCATCTCCCTAAACTCCCCAACGCTCCAACCATAATGGCAACCTCAAAACCCCCCTCACCTTCACCACTTTCCCTCCTTTCTATACCCATACCCCTATGAACGCAAGTCCTAACCCCCTCCCGCACCCTCTCCTTGCCAGCCCTCAACATCCTCGCACTGGCGCCCCCCCTAAGCACAACATCTCTGACCCTCGGCTCCCAGCCAGCCGCCACGCCGCACCAAAACCCTGTCGTTAGACGGCGCATATCGAGTTCGGCTAGGACGGTTTGCGCGAGGCCAACGCCGTCGAGGTAGCCCTCAACGGCGGCGACGGAGAGGCTGCGCATGGAGACTTCGGCGAGGGTGCGGTCGAGGGTGGTAAGTGAGTTTAGGGCACGCGTGAGGAGGTTAGTGCTGGCGGTTGTGTGGGTCTGCAGGAGGGTGCGGATTGATGTGTGAAGATCAGGGGGCGAGAGGAGGGAGAGGGATTGGAGAGTACTGGAAAGCTTTTGGCGGAGGGCTGGGGAGGTGGAGGGGAGGGCTGTGAAGGCGGCACTGGATGGAGGGGTAGGAGTGGTGGTGGAGGAGGGGGTTGATGTGTCCGGGGTGAGGAGTGAAAATGTGGTGATTATCTCCTTCGCCCGGGAAATGATGTTCGACCGCGTAGGCTGGTAAACCCTCTCGTTCAGCGACCTCGCCAGGTCCACTTCCATCAATCCATCCCCCTGCTCCAACAACCTCCCCAACTCTAGCAGGCTAAAAGAGCACCGAACCATAGCGCTCCACTCCCCGCGCTCCAAATCCGCCACTTGCCGCTCCACTTGCCGAGCAAGCACCACGCCACGGCTAACCTCCCGCAGCACCCTCGTCGTCGCGTGCAGGTTCTGCACGGCACAGACCACCTCCTCTGCACGGTCACCGCGGTCAATAACTTCGCGGCGTAGCCGCTCGTACGCCGTGTTCAGTGTGGCCGTTTGCGCCGTCACGGCCGAGAGCAGGGTCGACGAAGCGTGGGTCGTCGTGGCAGTGTGCGTTAACAGTAAGGTAGAAGAGGTGGTGGTTAAGGTGTGCAGGGTTGTGTCGATTTCCTGGAGGTCAAAGAGGACGCGCGAGAGGGGGGTTGTGAGGTCAAGTGGCTCATTGGGGTGGTTGGTCTGCGAGATAAGTGAGCTGGAGAAGGTTGTTGGGGAGAAGGTCGGGGAGAGAAGGGTTGGGTAGTCGATGTATTGTTCTGTTGAGGTCATTTTAGCTGAAGAATCTATATGTATTAGAGACTAGTCTGCTGTTTGCTTAGATATAGGGCGATGGTCCAGGATAGCGGAAGCCATGACACCATACCGTATCCCCCACGACCACCAACTTGTTAGTGGGAAAACTCTGGGGCACTTGAGAGAAGAACCCCTTGATCCTGTCCACCCCTCTCGTAGTCACAGAGCCCTCAAATATGTCACCAATAGACCGTCTCCTACGTCGACCACCGTGTTGCTGTCGTTGTTGTCGTCGTCGTTAACCAGTGTCGATTCCCCAAAGTGTCAGGCACACTCCGGAGGCGAAGCGAGTCTTGTAGATCTCGTAAATTCAGTTGCGTGGCAAACTCCTTGGTCAATCGCCCTGAAATTCCGTCATTTATATGATAAAATGCAATGTTGACCGTCAAACCCCGAATCAAATCGTTAGACCGCCATGAGTTCGTTGGAGGAGGTTTTGCTCACCCGAGGCGAACGTCAAAAGAAGCAATGAGGCTCAACAAACACACCCCCCTCACTATGATACCTTGGCAGTCCCTGCCAAGCCTAGACAACAATAAACTTTTCCCGACCCTACCCTATTAGCAGACCCTATTTAGCGGACCCAATCTTCCCAACTACGAGAGACCATCATACACTGGTGAGGTGGCGAGGAGAGCCTTCCAACTTGGTGGTAGTTATGGTGTACTCGAGTAGAGGGATCCACGGTTACAGAGACTCATTAGCCGCGGCACCAAAGTTTTCAAGTTGTACTGTACAGCACTCGGGTGCGGTACCGGTACTCGAGTACCCGCAGGCCATATGCGAGTCCTAGAAGGAGCTACGGGGGGTTCGGGTGGAATAGGAGTTCAGGTGGAAAGGACAGGGTATACGAGTAGTATTTGCCAAGTAGTATGGCATCGTAACTATCCAGCCTATGAGTTGTCGAGCTGGGCAAAAACGGGGCACGATATCCATTACAACTTATACGCCACGAGTATGCCCTCCCTCCTCTGGTGAGGCAGTTAGTCTACTCGTGCCGGGGGTCCTGTCATTGCCGGTTGGTCCATCCACACGTCAGCCATGGCTTATCGAAAACTGGATCAGCGTGCTTGCATAATTATCGCTGGAAGCGGTAATGTCCCCGATGCTTTTCTCTCGTCATACAAGTAAACAGTTCTGACTGGTCTCGTGCTTTATTGCCATTTTCGAAGAGGGAGGAGGGAAAGTTATCAGAGTACGGTACAATGATTGATAAAGGCAATCGCGATAGTGGGAGTACCGATAGAGTGTATTCAAATCGTACTTGCATAGTGCCGGTACAACGTACAGTACTCGAATCAATATCCAACCTTGCAGCACTGGCAGGTATGCATAGGACCGCTCGCCAGCACACAAATCGCCGGGCCCTTGCTTCCCCACTGAAGCGGATGACCTCGAATAGCTCAACACAAAAAGTAGTTTACCCGTCCTTTCCTTCCTTCCCCGACGCAGCGGGGTGCATGCCTTCCTCCCTTTCCTATCTCATCGTATATGAGCAACACACTAGCAATACCGGTAGGGTAGGGTATATCGGGTGGATTTTTTTCCTTTCTTCTTCTTCTTCACCCTTCCCTTTCCCCTCCTACCCTCCACCCATGTTCCCCAGGGCTGAGTTATCGTGGGGGGCTATTCGCGGTGGGTTAAGGTAAGACATAGCATGATGAGGTATGGGTGTGGGTGTGAGTGTAGTCCGGGGTAGTGCGTGCAGCAAAGTTTCGCCGGTTCTGTTGGTATTTTCACTTAATGTTGCATTGTACCATAGATCGATCTCTCTCTTCCTTTCCCTGCCCTGCTCTGCATGAGTGAAGTACGGATATAGTATGATACATGAAAACGGACTAGCGGTGGTCTCGCGGAGATGGGGAAATTGACGTCCTGCCGTAACCGTATGATACTGCGCGACGCTTCCTCACAGCCAGTCCCAGCAAAGCAAGCAAGCAAGCAATCAAGCACTCGCCGTTTATCGCCTCGTCCTTGGTAGGTTGTGCGGGTTTAGACCGTGGTTCGAAAGAATTTCGTACTCCCAGACGAGTGCTCTTCGCTATGGAGGTATGGGAAAAAGAAGAAACTTGGTCGAGCAGCGAGAAGGGTAAATTAGTATCGTACCGGTGGATGTAGTACAGCATGCCTGATGACAGACTTACCTCGTTTCTTTGGGGGGGGGGGGATTTTGAGGCTTGATTTTTTCTTTCTTTTTTCTTTTCCCCAGAATTTGAAAGGTGGGGGAAAGTCCATTGGTGTCTCGCCCACTTATGCCCAGAGTGCTATGGCAAATACCGATACCTGCAAAAGGCGGTGCGGTAGAGTACACAAGCACGCCCACGCCGTGTCGTGCAGTCGGGAGGAAGTGAGTACTCGTACAACTGTACTTGTACTGACTTTAGTTGAAGCTCTTACGTTATCGCCTGAAGGCAGATGCCTCGGCTTCTCTAGCTGGGTTCGATGGAGTGAGGATACGAGTGCTCAGCCATGTCCAGACCCGGGCTATCGTACTCGTAGTCTGGGGGAAAAGTAATTATCATAATTCTAGTACTTGTACAAGTATGGAAATCTAGTGTATTGGATCAACGCTTGTCGGTATTTCGTTACAACTTACAAGCGGGTCAATATTCCACGACGCCGGTACCGGTAAATTGTTTGTCATAATAATACTCTATTCATACAAGCTACTCTAGGGTGGTTCTACTCGAGCACTACACTCGAATAGTCCCCCGTATACACTTCACTTGCACCTTGCGGTTACTAGCGCAGTTATTCGGTCACCGGAGAGTCCCCCCCACTCGGAAGGAGTGAAGTGGGGCGAGAAAGGGCCTCCAATCATGACGTTAAGTGTGATCAGTGTTTCTCCGATGTTTTGTTGTCGCGTGGGGTGTTGATCGAAATTTATGCTTCTCATATTATAATTCGTACTCGCACAAGGGAAAAATCTCCCCCTGTATCACGGGAGCCGCCAGCAATAAGCCTTGTCTCCCCCCAACCGCGCAGAAGAGGCGTGAGAGACACGCAGTGGTGGATGGAGGGACGTCGCTACAAGTAAGTGTCAGCCCCGCGATACCGGTAGTGGCCGGATGTTTCACCAAAAAGCGATACTCTCTCTCTTTACAATACTCGAGTATGGGTACAGTACAGCACCCTACCGCACTGCAATTCTCGAAAAACGCCTCATCCATAGTCATCCATAGTGTTTGTCGGGTAGTCTACTCGTATGATGGGGGGATGACGATGCGCATGCTAAATACCTGTACTATCGGTGGCTATCACCACTGGGGTTTTGATACCGGCTGATATTGTACTCGTACAGTAAGTTACTGCTATTCTGGGCGATTGCTCCGTGCAAGCCCGTTCGCCCCCGGTCTGCGAAGATCCAGGTTCAATGGGCGGCAGGCAGCGGCATTGTTTATTGTCGAAACCAGGAAACAGGGAGACGGGCATTACTGTACAATTCGAAACTCTGTCTGTGGGTGGGGAAGAGGGTAATGAATTGGGGTGGGGGGGTGTGCTCGAGTAAAGTGCAGGCAGTGCGGGAGGGAATGGGAATGGCATGGAAGAAAGGGGAATGGGGGTTGGGGAGCAGCGATAGGGAATTGGAGCAATTTAATCTCTGATACTATCCGTGTATGATGATGGTACGGTACTCCCATCCTTGGAAGGTGAAGGTAGGTTGCTCGAGTAGAAGGGGGGAAAAAAAGAGGCCCTCTCCATGGCTCCCTGAGGATTGGGCTGGGCTACAAGTAAGGTAGAGCATTCTAATGTTCTCGTCCACACTTTCCTTTGAGTATTTCACACTGTGCTGAACTTGTAAGCAACCACTCAGTGATACAAGGTGACGCCACAACGTGCTCGAACCACCAAACCCCATTGGCTGAAGCAGAGACAAAACACTCTCCACCTTTCGATATGATCAGTATTATAGTTTCTTTTTCCAAGTGGGGATGGACTCCCGTTGCAGGAAGATCGGCTTTGCCTTTACCAGCATCCAATTTGAGTTGCTTGTACCAACTCCCGGCTAGAAACAGTAAAGGTGATACCCTACTCGAGTAGATCGAATTTTAGGGGGAAAAAAAAAAGGAAAGAAAAGAGCCCACTTTACAAGAGTCAAAAAGAAGAAGGAAAAAAATAGCTAGAAAAATGTCGTGAAAATTTTTCCCCCACTTTGGATACCGGCTCATCGGAGCCTCGTGGGGACATGGAAGCTTCCAAGTGGTGGAAGGAGGCGGGAGGAGGAAAGAGCAATGATAGCCGGAATTTCGGTGCCGGGTGTATGAGTATTAAATCTGTCTTCCTCCCAAGAAATGTCCAAGACCTTGGGGAAAAAAGGAAGTTCTATCATACCATTACTCGTACTCCACCACCCTACCTCACCACCACTGCCGACCCAAAGCTCTTCTCTTGGTACTTGGCGAAGGCTTGATTCTGCCCTTTTGTCCAAATAGCTAGTTGTGCTCGTGCAGTAGTGGGTCTTTTATTCATTAGCTTTTTTCTTTTTTTTTCCATCTACTTGTAGGTGTTGGATGAGATTGTGGGGAGCCTCTCGCCAATACAGGTCCAGCGCTGCACAATTGAGCTGACACCGTCGATATTGAGAAAGAAACGGCTGCAGTGGTTCCGTTAGACAAGAGGGAAGAGGAAAGGGAAGGGAATCAGAACAATCACAGCCATGAACAAGACTGCGGGTGGAAACTCGGCTTTTCACAACTTTAATAATCAGTTTGCTCATGTTTCGGTTCGTTCTTAATATTCATTCATCTACCCCCCCCGCCTGGCTGGAGGAGGAGTAGGGAGGAACATGGCCTATCAGAGCGGCCTTGTTTGCCTTGGCGGTGGCTTGTTCGCTTTCAGCTACAGAATGATACTGATAAGGACCACTCACTTAGGACCCGAACGAGCGTCGTCGTCTCGCCCTTGCGGAAATCGATAGGGCGCCATTTGGGTGGTACCATGTGCGCGCAGTAGTGGTTGCGGGTGTTGGCTTCTTCACTGATGCCTACGATGTAAGTGCTGCTTTTTCCGATTCCGACCAATTCCTGCTGACGGGGTGCCCATTCAGATCTTTGCCATCAATATGGTGACTGGAATGCTTGGCCTCGTCTATTGGAAATCCGGAAAGATTCCAGAACACTCAGACACAGCCATCAAGGTTTCTACTTCTGGCGGAACCGTGATTGGCCAGTTGCTATTCGGGTGGTTGGCCGATGTGGTTGGCCGGAAAAAGATGTACGGACTTGAACTTTTGGTAATTATTGTTGCTACCCTTGCTCAGGCCCTCACCTCCGAGTCCTATTCCATGCATCTGGTGGGATTGCTGGTCTTCTGGAGAGTGATTATGGGAATTGGTATCGGAGGAGATTACCCCTTGTCCTCTATCATCACTTCCGAGTAGGTTTCATCTTGCCCGAGTCGCAAACCTGGTCTTCGGGTTGACTAAGTGGGGCATTGTAGGTTCGCAACCACAAAGTGGCGTGGTGCCATGATGGGCGCCGTGTTTGCCATGCAGGGAATTGGCCAACTTGCCGCTGCGCTGGTAGCCCTGATCGTCACCGTAGCCTTCAAGTCCCAAACCCACCCCGCAGCCAAACCCAGCCAGTGCGATGTCGCCTGCCGCACCGCTGTGGACAGAATGTGGAGGATCGTCATCGGATTCGGCGCCGTTCCTGCATGCATAGCCCTCTACTACCGCCTCACAATCCCCGAAACCCCCAGGTACACTTTCGATGTCGCCCGGGATGTTGAGAGGGGTCAGGCAGACGCGAGTGCCTACCTCGCCGGCAAGGCAGCCGGAGAAATTGATGAGATTAGACGCGTCGAGGCGATGCAGCAGTCGGCCGATCTCCAAGTGCCCAAGGCTTCATGGAAGGATTTTTGGGGCGTTTTCCTGCAGTGGAGATACGGCCAGATCCTACTTGGGACTGCTGGATCATGGTTTTTACTCGATGTGGCCTTCTACGGTTTGGGTCTCAACAACTCCATCATTCTCGCTGAGATTGGATACGCTGCGAAGGACAATGTATACGACCGTCTCTACAATAACGCTGTGGGAAACCTGATCCTCATTTGCGCCGGTGCGATCCCGGGATACTGGGTTACTGTATTCACGGTGGACATTGTCGGCCGCAAGCCAATCCAAATGATGGGCTTCGTCCTGCTAACGGGGTTGTTCATTGTCATCGGCTTCGGATTCCACCACTTGTCCTCAAATGCCCTGCTGGGACTGTACATCCTCTGCCAATTCTTCTTCAACTTTGGTCCCAATGCTACCACCTTCTTGGTGCCAGGCGAGTGCTTCCCGACAAGATATAGATCCACATCCCATGGAATTTCCGCCGCAAGCGGCAAAGTTGGCGCAATCATCGCGCAAGTCCTCATCGGCCCCCTCAGGACCAGGGGCGCCACGGCAAAGAACGCCTCACCTTGGCTGAATCACGTGATGCAGATTTTCGCTGGGTTCATGTTTGCCGGGATCTTCACTACCCTGCTGATTCCTGAGACTGTGAGTTTTTTTTTTACCCGTTATCAACATTATGTCGTTGCTAATTTATGGTGGTTGAACAGAAACGTAAGACCCTCGAAGCACTCTGCGCAGAGCTGTACGGCGAGGGTATTGCCCAGGAGGAGAAGGCTACACACACCGGTACCGCCGGCGTAGGAGAAGCTACTTCTGAAGAGGCGGGTAACGAGAAGCGGGTCATGGTTGCGGAGGGGCAATAGTGGGGCTTCCAGATTTACTTTACATTCATTGTTAATCTTCTTATTTGGGGTTTGTTGCGTTCATGCTTGGGGTTGAGTTTGATGGTCTACCGTAGTTTTGAGATAATTATCGGAGGTTGGTGAACGGCGGGCATGGGATGACATCTTCGTTTGACCCATGGAATCAATAAATACCCCTTTTCTTCCCCCCGGAATCGTATTTAGGAGTTCTCGGACGGGTGCTGTAAAGTACTCGAGTACTCGTACAGTACGATAGTACCCTGGTAACGCTGCGTCTCCATTTCGTCCAGAGGAAATAACTGAGAACTTAATTTTTTTACACTCGATCCGACCGACTCCGGTGTTGTCTAAAACCGAGCTAGTTGCCCGGTATGATATAATTGACAGACTGAAGTGAATATATTTTTTTTAACATGATATCGTACCCGGCATGATATCTCAGCAACAGCAAAACTCGTTCCAACTGTTTTACTCATCCATTCCCTACTGTTCTCTAGTGCTGCAACCCCCCCTCACCTTTTCGTCTGTTGTATGAAGCGGTGGTGCTCTGGTGCACCGACCCCTCCGAGCATCGTATCGTGATACAACAAAGCGCGTTCGGGTATGACATCATAGTTCCCACTCCCACCACTTGACCCAAGCGCGCCTCCCGAATACTCCAGTACTAGTCCACATAGTTTAGTGCCCGTAGTTGGGAAGGGGTTGGTAGCGCTCACTCGGCACCAGCACTCACGAACTGAAAGGGGGGGAAATCTACCGGGTATGCGTGTGTGAGGGGGGGTATACTGTACTGTACTCCGTGTCAGTCATGGTGTATCACTCGCTACGGGGTTTGACTCGGAATTTTAGGTTTTGTATGTATCATAGCCTCGTCAGGTTGTATTTTCTTTTTTCTCTCGTTCCCTCCGGCCTACATACAAGTGTCCGAGGATACGATAATTGGGCAGAATCAGGAGGGTGGATGCACAATATAGGCGCGAGCAGGAGTAGAAAGGGGGGGGCGGGAATCCTTTTCGTTTGATATATATATATGTATATATTTAATCGATGGGTGAGAAATAGCAGGCGAAGCTTATAATGGTGGTACTTTAGAACCTTGGAAAGTTGGGAGCGGTCACGAAATAGAGAGGGGTTTTTTTCTTCTTCCTCGATATCCTATCATACCTCTACCATTCTGAACGGATTACGGGACCCCTCTTGCATCATAGGATAGAGCTTCATATTTCACGTGGTATTATATAGCCCCTACAAACATGCCCCAACTTTAAATCCAACCATCACGCTCTTCCAGTTCCCATCTCGAGGAAATCAAATTTCTCTCTCGTTGGGGTGTGGTCATTCAACTTGAAACCGGCCGGATATTTTCCCCCTGCCGTGGCTGGCTTATAGCGACGGGAATCATAGTCTTGCGGGCGAATTGGGTTCTTGAGGGAGTAGTGCTTGGGTTGTTATTGCTGGTTGGAGGTAGGAAGGTATTGATAATTCTTGTATCCGATAATCAATTGAACCCCCGCCTCCAGGTTCTAAGGTTCTAATAGCGTGAAGAAGTGTAGAATAATAACCCCACTGCTCCTCTGTTGTGCCAAATACCCCCCCGGCTGGCATGTATACATAGTCTATCATTGCAGCGGGCAGTGCTAGCTTATGGACGGGCAATTCTACCCACAATTCCGTCGGTGAGGTCGCTGATATGAATTGTATCCAGGAGGGCAATAGTGCGTGAGTTACAAGCGCCGCAATGCCTATATCCCGTCACATAATGTGCAGTTACAAGCGATCATGTAAGAGTCCTATCTCGCCAGGTGATAAAAAAGTGCCAAGCGATCACTAGGGATCACTCCGAATACTTAGTGCTATACCCCGCTTTGGGAGTATTGTTTTTTTTGTACCGCTCTTTCAAAATTCTCGGATATCCTGCAGTTATGCCCCGCCGTTTTCATGTGGTAATTTCGTGGTCGGACCAGTATATGCGCAAATGCTTTCCCCTGGAATATAGCGAAAAAGTTCCGAGAGGGTTCCAGGACTTTCACTCTTGTATCCATCGTGAGTATGGTACTTCTCCGCTGATCACTTGCGGTTCCACCCCTTCTGTCCGAACCACAACTTCATGTAGCTGCTACTGGCTGAAGTGGCGAGATGAGGGAAAGGAAGGAAGTGGAGCATATTTCCTTGTTCCTGGAATGCCAACTTTTCGTTCCACGTTTTGATCAGTTTCCATGTCTGGCATTCTCGATTATCCCCCTCGATAGCTTCATACCTCGCTGTAACCTCCCAGAGCGTACAATGGCACCATGTCGCCCCGAATCATCCATCAATCCTCAAGGGGCTCGCATCCTCCATATCTGGGATCTGAGAATCGTGGTATTCTCTGCCTCGAAACCCCATTGCGGATTCCTACCTTGACGTTTTGGCTCACGGTACTTCGAAGTACACGACACTCGAGGTGAAATGACACCCGGGAAGGGAGTCAACGAGTGCGCGCGGGGGGGGGGCTTCAACGAACGTGCCAAACTAAATTACTGTTTGCCAAGAGACTCTTAGTGCATTGTTCGTTTAGCCTGGGCGCTCGTGACCTCCCCCTCCCCCTACTGCTTGCGCACAAGCTTAAGTTGCAGTGCAATGGGGCTTTGGATTTTGACTTGGAGGGTTTGTTTTTTTTCGATGGTGCATCATAACTCATTCGCATACAAGTGCTGTAATCTACTGAGCGCGAAATTGGATTCTCCGGCTGACGGGTTGGCCATTGGGTATGTGCAGTACTGTACTGTACCATCCCAGCGACAAAATTCCTTGCCCTGTTTTAAACCAAAAATGGCTGGTTTTTAAACACTCGAAACTATCTGAAAACGATATAGAATTAAGAGCACTTGGCCATGTGCTATAGGAGATTTCCCAGACTCTCAAGGTAGAAATTGTGAGAATTTTCTGGCTCTACCATGGTGGTTGAGAGCAGGGTCCAGATTGGATATTATTGCAATGCACTGTACTGTACCTTGTGTGCCACCTTTTTCACAAGTGTAGGAAACTCATATAAAATCGTGAGTACCATTTGCCCACTATCATTATATCCGCTATTGCACCATGGACAATTTACTAACGGGGCTTATCACCGTTAAGTGATGATATCTGGATGGATTTAGAGGCTCTCGCAAAATTTCTAGGGCTGATGGAGAGGGTAGATCCCAAGAGTTTTACGACAGTACCTCAGGTGCATCCGCAAGCCAGGAGATATTCCTAAACGTAGTCTACTGCGGCCTCCCAGGTACTCATTTAGTAGCATCCTTGAGGGAGATAATGATGACTCCTTTTGGCAAGCTGCCCGCTGGAAACCCTTCTATCGCTCATCGTACCGGTGGAGAGAAACCTGATCTTCAAACCAAGAGAATCTGCAGTGACCCTTGACCTATCAGGATGCGGCGGGTAAACGCTAGCGTCGGAAAAAAGATCGAGCGAATACCGAGCACCATAGAGGCGAACACCCTGGAAAGACATTTCTTCTTCCATGTAAGGACAGAACCCTTCACCCCGCTAATTACCGAATGGTTTTGTGTGTTCATCTATCGGCCACCTCAGTCTTAGTGCTTGTCGATATGGTTGATGGCTTTGGATCGACCCAAGGTCTTCACCCAAAGCAGCATGGGACCGGGAGCACCCCGCTGTGATGCGGCCAGCAGAAAAAAAACGTGTACGATTTCCACACCCGAACCACTCCTGATCCTGGGGAATCCTGGGAAACTAGGAAGTGACAAATGTTTGTATAGGCGAAGGTGTTGTGCGGATGTTCGATATCGGTTGAGTCTTAATTTATGCGCTTGTGTGTTGTGCTCGCAGCGGTAGGGTTGGCGCCTCCAGCTGATAGATCAACCATCGGAAGGGGTGTACTGTACTTTACACTTGCTAAGCGCCTGTGACATACTCGGGTATGGAGGGTAGTGATGATGAGACGGAGAGGGGTACCAGTGGCTGAGGACATACTCTACAGATTCCCGTGCCTTGCACATATATTTTCGGCAGCGCACACCTCCGTCTGATTCATCACTAATCTCCATACCCGAGCACAGACTGACACAATATTCTTGTATCTATGAGAAGTGTACACGTACCATGTTCATCCTGGTCGATGGGATATTTTCTGAGCATTGGTACTCGGTATTCAAGTTTTGACCAGCACTTTAGCTGCCCAAGTAGTAAAGCGTGCGTAGGCTAGACCATGTGAGCTCAAGTCCCCATATGGTGGACATTGAAAGATACCACTTTTATATTACTCGAGCAGTGAAAGGAAGATCATAAAAGTACTGTGTCGGTGGTGATAGTAAATTTGAGAAATCCAGTGCCGAGGGAATGGAGGGCGAGATGGAGGGCACTATAACTTGATACTGTTTGAGCCTACCATATTTGAGTGCCCGAAGGATACTTACTAGTTCCGCCATTGATAATAGTGCACCGCTGTTGGGTGCCGAGGCTGACATTTAGGATTATTTGGGATCAGCTGGGGTCCATTGAGCTCACCGTTCTTGTACAACACAGCGCGGTAATGTGACATTTCGGTTCCCGCAGGTTCTCGGTACGATGCCTTACTAGAAGGATTGGATGTCTCACTGCATGGCATGGAAGAGGATGATACTCCGGGGGAAGCGCTGCTCTTGATAGGAGCTAAGTTTTGGGAAGCCAGGGGATTCAAGCACCAATCGGTATAATACATGATCCTCGATATTGGCAGCAAAAGAAATGTAATCCCCCCCAGGTTTTCCATGCAAAATTCCGATTTTCAATTACCCACCAGAAACGACTACACTAAATCCTGTCCTTCAAACTCTGATGATAGGAAGGGAATCTATAGGGAGTTTATCATTATGAGTTTTCCAATTTTTATTGTTTTGTATAGAAAGCTGGGGGGGCACTTTTCTTCTGTTGTGGAGTTCGTGTTTGAGTTGACCTCCTTCTATGGGCTGCTGAGACTTTCCGGTCCAGATTGAAATCTGGAATACTAGCCTATTCGAGTAACCCTGACTACATCTGCTACTGCAATCCTACTTTAAGCCATTTCTGTTACGGTCATGAAAAGTGGTACTGATGTTGTGATGTTCCGAGCACTACGGCGATACTTTCGCAAGTCTTCTGGGTCCGGGATACTTTTGGTGTGTATTCGACACCATAGGAATCGTTGGTCAAGGAAAAAATATACATTCTGTCA